GAAAAATAAATACCAGAAGAATTCTTGAAGAATCAACCACAACAAGTTTGTCTTAAAATATTCCTTAGGACTTCATTATAGCGAATACTTCGCGACTTAATTCCTAAAACACTTTGAGAATTCGTAAGGAATTAGGGCTAAGGCAGAGAACGAGACGTAAGCGTCGTAATCGTAGACGTAAAGTTAGGCAGAGAAAAACGTAAGACTAATAGCCTTTCATAGCTTACGTTTACATTTTTCTCTACTTTATTTTACGTCTACGACTACGACGCTTACGTCTCGTTCTCTGTCTTAGCCTTTACAAACGTTTTGTTTATAGCAATTACTTTTTGCGCCCATATTCAGTACATGCCAGTGAGTGTATAATAATTGATTTACATATTTATACATAAATTGTTTAATTTATTATTATTCACAGTTACTTATATTTTGTGGAATTAATTATATAGCTTTATATAATAGGGCAAAGAAAGGGAATTGGTGTTAAAATAGCTTTTCATATATAAAATGTTCACTTGTATCAATAATAAATAGACTTATGCGAAGTATATTTTATGCTTAAGTTTGTATTCATGTTTCTGAAATCTATATACAATTCTAACAAACTCAATCGCATTATTTGAAAGCCATTTATTTTTGGATTTTGAATTACATATTTGAAAGTGCGCTTTACTTACATTTGAAGTTCAGTAAATACCCAGCAAAAAATAATTCGTTGATTGACGACATATAAAAATAATTCGTTGATTGACAAAAGAATGACATCAAATAGACGTTGAAATCATCAAACCGACGTCAATTTGATATCATTTTGACGAATCAAAGAATCATTTTTCACTAGGTATATTGATGTCACAAACATGAAGTCTTAAATAGCTCAATGGAAAGAGCGGTTGTCTGGCAAGCGGAAGACATTCCGCTAAATCATTCTTATAGTATTCATCCACAAATTCCTAAGAAAGTATAATTCAGGAAAGGAGAAAACTTTAGGAACATTTAAAGAATTCATCGTGCTATCTGGGCATAATTTCGTAAATAATTTTACATAAATACGTATACAATTATATATAATTATACATATAATTATACATAATTGTGTATAATTATATATAATTGTATATAATTATATATAATTATATATAATTATGTGTGGAAAAATTTTATGATTATTTTATAATTATGTATGAAAAATTTTTCATTGGGATTGCATGCAATATGAATCTAATAAAGTTTCTTTTAGGTTGCGTTGCGTCGTGCACGCAATATAAATGTAACAATGTTTTTTACAGAATACGTTATTCAAACTGGCAAAATTTAGAAGACTCACTATCAGATTTATAATATTTTATTGATAAAAAGATTTTATCAATAAAATATTATAAATCTGATAGTAAAGACGTTTATTTTCTTTCTCTTTCTTATTTCTTTTTAATATCAATTTTTCCGCAGCACATATATGGTTTGGACATCGAAAAATGATAGCTTCAAGCTTCAATACAAACATATTACGAGGATTCTGCGATACATTTGTGAAACAAACTTCAATATTTATGGAGAAATTAGAACACATGCTAAATGATGAAGTAGATATTTTTGAACATATAACAACGTGTACTTTGGACATCATTTATGGTGAGATGAAATGCTTATACGACTTTGAAAATTACTTTGAAAATTTGTTTGAAAATTACCTGTATGTGTAATAACTTTTCAATACGAATGTACAAAAATTATTATTTAAGATAATAAATAATGTATTTTATTATATACTTTAATTATATATTATATTAAAAATGACGAACTTAACTTTTTCGTACAAAATCTTGAAGGCACTTCATTGGGTATCAAGTTGGAATCGCAATTAAATAAAAATACTATGTATGTTAATGCACTAATAAGGTATGACGTCTTTAGACATCAAATTCTTATAATTATAGTGTCCTCAGAAATGGATTTTATTTAACAAGATTATCGCAATGTATAATTTCAGGGTAAAAGAGATAATCTTACACAGAATACGAAATATATTTTTATTTTCTGATATAATATTCTATTTTACTCCTCTAAGTCGCGAGCAGCAGAAGCATTTAAATTATATATATTCTGCTGCGGAAAAGGTAGATATTCCAAATACATTCTCTGATAAAGTTGCACGCTTTGCATGTTATATGAATTATTACTGTGCAGGTAATAGAACAAAAGGAAAATGCGAGAGATAATTTAGTTGGAAATAAAAACCAATCTGCTAAACCTTGTAAGTTGTACACATTTCTTTTATATATTTTTACGTAATATATTCATTTAGTTAATGTTATAATGTGTAAAAATTGTACGAAAAATTATTATGTATATATGTATATGTTATGCATATACAGGGTGTCCTGCGTAAGACGGACCAAAAGAGAAATATAAATAGAACACATAAAAGTAAACAAAAATTGTATAGGTCATTTTTCAAACAACCAAGTAAAATTTCGAGATATTAATTAAAATAGTTGGACAAATTAGAACGCGCGACGTGATAGGCGGGACATACGGCTCACAGCGGCCGGCGAAGAAAATGGATGATTGCTCGCGGGGCTATCATATAGGCCAGAGAGGTGGGCCGTTTGGCATATGGAAATGGGTAGCTCCGTGTGCGTCCGTGTACGTGTGCGCTTGTCCATTTTCTTCGCCTACCGCTGCGAACCATATGTCCCGTCTGTCGCGTCGCGCGTTCTAATTTGTCCAACTATTTTAATTAATATCTCAAAATTTTAGGTAGTTGTTTGAAAAATGACCTATACAATTTTTATTCACTTTTATGTGTTCTATTTATATTTTTCTTTTGGTCCGTCTTACGCGGGACACCCTGTATACAGGGTGTCCCGCATAAGACATGCCAAAAGAAAAATATAAGTAGAACAAATAAAACTAAACAAAAATTGTATAGGTCATTTTTCAAACAACCACGTAAAATTTCGAGATATTAATTAAAATAGTTGGACAAATTAGAACGCGCGACGTGATAGGCGGGACATACGGCTCACAGCGGCCGGCGAAGAAAATGGATGATTGCTCGCGGGGCTATCATATAGGCCAGAGAGGTGGGCCGTTTGGCATATGGAAATGGGTAGCTCCGTGTGCGTCCGTGTACGTGTGCGCTTGTCCATTTTCTTCGCCTACCGCTGCGAACCATATGTCCCGTCTGTCGCGTCGCGCGTTCTAATTTGTCCAACTATTTTAATTAATATCTCAAAATTTTAGGTAGTTGTTTGAAAAATGACCTATACAATTTTTATTCACTTTTATGTGTTCTATTTATATTTTTCTTTTGGTCCGTCTTACGCGGGACACCCTGTAT